TCTCCTCAAGTTTTTTCGAAACTGACGAGATGAACTTGAGCGGGATCCGTGTACGGTAGGGAGTCGAAGTTAGGGGTGGCGGCGGGAGAAAACCGTCGGGGGCAAAGGGGGTCAAGAAAACGTGTCTCCAAAGAGAGACGATGGCGTGGGGTGGGAGGACAAGGGCTGGAGGTGAGAAAATCTCGCGGCGGCGATGAGTAGGAAAGCAGATAGGAAGCAGGTCTGCCCCAAATCACAGTCGCCGTTGCGCTCATTGTCACACCTGAGTATTGTGTAAATCCTGGAGGGAAATGTATCTGTCGTTTCAGTTTTTCTCTCTTAAAAACGCGATTTGAAAGTTTAGCTCCGTTTAACATGTTGAATTTAAGGCCCCGGTATTTCATATGAAGGGATGTGACCTAACATGCCAGTCATGTCAGAATTAATCATATAGCACATAAATAGACACCAAGTAATTAAAAAACAGGACTTTGTCTAAGTGAGCAAGTAATTCCTTACTTAAAATTTGCTATATGAAAACACAAAACAAAAACAGGAACTGTTGTTTTGCTGGGAAAATGTACATCTGCTTTCAGGAAATGGATTAAGACTTGGCTTTGCATTAATTGTCATGATTCTCTTATGACAAACAATGGACTAGCTTTTCTGGGAGGGTTCTATATTTACAATTTTGGTTCTATTTTTAGATCAATGCAATTTTTTCCCAGCCACAAATTTCTGTTTTAACTATTAGAAAATTGATATAACATTGTATTCTTATTTATGCTAATTTTTCTTTACAGGTGATTCGGGGCGGGGGAGCACAAAAGTTTTCTTTGAAGAACGTCATAAGGTTACTGAAGGATGGCAGAAGCAGTGTTGATTGATCTCTTTGGTTTGAAATTGAACTCTCAGAAAAGCTATCATCAGACATTGCTGAAGACGTTGAATGCTGTTCAGTACCACCACGCTGCCAAGGCCAAGTTCCTTTGCATAATACGTTGCGGTAACATCGGCTGTGAAAGAGACAGTGACCATGATAACTATGAAGTAGAAACAAGCAATGGATTATCAACTCTCTTCAGAGAATTTGAGACTGTTAGCAATCCCAGCATGGCTGCCTGTTTGTATACCATTAAACAAAAAATTGATGAAAAAAATCTGAGCAGCATTAAGGTAATTGTACCCATGCACCGGAAGAACTTAATGAAGGCTTTTATTGATCAACTCTTCACTGATGTTTACAATTTTGAATTTGAAGATTTACAGGTGACTTTAAGGGGAAGTCTTTTGAAACAGTCCATAGAAATAGACAAGATCACAGCTCAAGAACTAGAAGAAATCCAGAACGAAGTCGAAACATATTTGAGAAGTCTGCCAGCACTTAAAGGAGAGTTAACCATTATCACATCTCCATTGATCTCAGGTACATTAAACAGTTATTGGTTGTTTTCACCATGCACATGAAAAGCAGCCTTTTGTTAAGAAGCCTTTCACCTTTTTTCCTCCTTTCTTTTGTAGACTGCTTTGGGTTTATGTGCTCATTAACATTGATTGAAGCATGGAAATGTCATGGATAGTCTTGTAGTATTAAGGATGTCCAGGGACAACAAGGGATAGTCCCTTCAAAGCCATCCTAAATAAATAAATTTGCTTTAAGACAAATTCAGCTTTAAGACAAATCCCCAGGCTGCCTTTAAAATGAGCTTTATGACTCTTAATCATCTCTTGTTTAGCAATTCTGAAACCTTAACGTATTGGTACCTTAACCCTTAATGGAAGAGTGACATTTAAAACAGTCAAACTGACTTCTTAGTTAAATGATATTTACTATGAGCTATATGCTTTGGGGTATAGCAAAGAAAAATGGGACAGAAGATACCCTTTGAAGAGCAGTAACCCCATAGGAAAGGTAAACACAAAGCAGTGCGTAATAACACAGGGAATGTGGAAGGGCTTTGGAAATTACATACCAGATAAACAGATGCAGGCTGAGATGATCAGGGAGGTCTTCCTGAGAGACAGGGCTTATCGTGCTTTTTATTGTCTTTCGTAGAGCACATTCTTAATTTTCGGTACTTATCTTCAACAGATATCTTCATACATGGATTTACTACGAGGACTGGTGGGATATCTTATATACCAACTCTCAGTTCATTCAATCTCTTCAGCAGTTCCAAACGGAGAGATCCCAAGGTCGTTGTTCAAGAAAACCTGCGTCGGCTGGGGTCTGCTGCAGGATTCGATGCAAAAAAATTTTACCGAATAAAGGTAAAGTTATGTTTCATACTTTGAAAAATGTTAAGTATATTCTTGACTCTGCTCATGACTACTGGGCTTTAATCGGGCTATTTAGCTTTTGCATTATCCTAAAGTTTTATCTAAAACTTTAGGATAATGCTTGTTTTTCTTAGCTCTGTATACCATAGCCTAACAATCAGCTCTGTGATGTATGTATTTCACGTGGAGCTTCTCACATCTGAAAATGTAGTTAATTCTCAGATTGTACAGTACCACTGCCCTTTTAGATTTGGAAGGAAGGTTCCCAAATGGTGGAAAAGAAAGGCCATGGTTTTCTAAATCCACACCAGGAGGAACTTAGGGTACAATCGATGAGATAATGCCTTATTTCTTACAGAATTCTAACTTGACTTGAGTCTAGGAAGAGTAAAAATATTATTGACTTGGTAATTAATTTCTTTCCATGCATTAGTTCTTTATGAAAAGTACTGCACATAGAGACCCATCTCTAATGGGAGGCGTTCATGATAGACAATATCGAAGTTTTAAATGTTAAAGTCTGCTTTCCTTTGAATAAAATATGCAGAGATTATAATACCAAAAGTTAGGTGATAAGTAAATTTGGTATTTTACCATGTATAGAAGTGATATATTTAATGATTAGTAATCTTAAACTAGTTATGTTATTTTGTACAAAATAATACTTTCAGAAAAGCTTATGGTGTGAGAAATCTTACCTTCAAAATGTTTTAATTGCACATCTTTTCTATTAGACTGATCATGCCAATGACGTCTGGGTCATGGGAAGGAAGGAGCCTGAATCTTATGATGGAATAACCACAAATCAGAGGGGAGTCACAATAGCGGCTCTTGGTGCTGACTGTATACCGATAGTTTTTGCAGATCCGGTCAAAAAAGCATGCGGCGTGGCTCACTCTGGTACGTAAACTTAACTAAGCATATAGGATTTTACCAGTTTTATAGAATAGAAAAAAATATTCCTTTCTGCTGGGCATGAAATAAATGAGCAGTTAATTACTTTACTTGTGATAGGGGTAGGTTCAGCACACTCCTATTATAGAAGCAGAAGTATCTAAGTCAGATTATATGAATCAGAGTAGAATTCCCAAAAGAAGTGGTACCTAGGCTGATTCCTGAGGAATTTGTAGGGTTTGGCTAGGTGCCAGTGTTTCTCATTGGGGATGCTGTTAACATTTTGGACACGATAATCTTACACTGCAGATAGTTTGGTTGGCCTTCAAAATTCTCGGTTGTCATAATTTTTTTTTAAAAAAAGCCTCTACGCTTTTGAAAACACTCCCAAGGAGTGGTACTTGCTCTGGTTGAGAAGCCTTGAAGTCATGGCTATATGGGGCATAGGAAGGTTAGACATGTTGCAGAAAGGTGCTCATGAGATGCAGCAGCACGTGTAAAAGTATGGGGGTAAGAAAAAGCGAGAAATGTTTGGAAAACTGCATTTAGTTTAGTTTTACCGAATGCGGTATTTAATGTGAACAAATTTTACCGAACAAAGGTAAAGTTATGTTTTATGCTTTGAAAAATCTCAAGTATATTCCTGACTCTGCTAATGACTATAGTCTGGTGGCTTTAACTATTCTCTGAAGATAAGAACAAAGAAGAATTTTTTGATGACATATTAAGGTTATGGAATTCTGTTTTCCAGAGGTGTTTTAAAATACTTTTTAGATTAATCAGTGTTGATGATTCTATGTGAAATAAGAAATGATCTTTTGGATTTCCTTCTGCTTGAAAATCTGTGGCAACTTTGCTTGTCAGGACATAGATAAATAAGAAAGTTGCATATTTTTCTTTTGACCTAGCTAAAATAATAGAATTAGTTGACTAGAAGTTGAGATTAGTATTTGACATTGTCAAAAGTTATTTAAAATTTGAATCTTCTTGGATATAAAAAATAATATTGTTTGTTACTTTTTAGGTTTTAAAACATTAAGTTTTAAAATATCAAATCAAAGCTAAAGCTGTCAAAATGAAACTATTGAAAAAGAAATTTGAAGTGAGGGGTGTCACACTTCCTTATTTCAAAACTCGTTACAAAGCTACAGCAATCAAACGATATGGTACTGGCATAAAGATAAACATATAAAACAATAGAATAGAGTAGAGAGCCCAGAAATAAACCCTCGCATGTATGGTCAAGTGATTTCTGACCGCGTGCCTGGACTGTACAATACGAGAGCACAATCGCTTTGACAAATGGTGCTGGGAAAACAGGATATTCACATGCAAACAAACAAACAAACAAACAAACAAAAAAACGGATGGTAGAGCCTTACCATTCTACATCATATATAAAAATTTAACTCAAAATGGATCAGAGAACCAAAGTTAAAAGCTAAAACTATAAAACTCGTAAAAGAAAATAAGTATTAATCTCTGAGATCTTGGATTGGGCAATGGTTTCTTAGGGATGACAACAAAAGCACAAGCAACAAAATTAAAAAGAGGTAAATTGGATTTCATCAAAGTTAAAAATTTCTCTGCATCAGAAGACACAACAAAGTGAAAAGGCAGCTCAAAGAATAGAAGAAAATATTTGCAACTCATGTATCTGACAATGGGTTATTATCTAGACTATTTAAAGAAACATAACAACAACAGCAAAATAACCTGGTTAAAAATGAACAAAGGACTTGAATACACATGTCTCCAAAGACAATATGCAAATAACCAACAAGCCTGTGAAAAGATGCTCAGCATCATTAATAATTAGGAAAATGCAAATCAAAACCACAAAGAGACATCACTTCACACCCAAGAGGATGACTAATATTAAAAATAAATATAAAAATAAAAAATGGGCAATAACGAGTTTCGGTGAGGTTATGGAGAAATTGGACCTTAATGCACTGTTCGTGGGAATGTAAAATGGTGCAGCTGCTATGGAAAATGATACCATGTTTCCTCAAAAATTTTAAAACAATTACATCCAGCAAGCCACTTCTGAGTATCTATCCAAAAGAATTGAAAGCAGGATCTCAATGAGATATTTGCATTCCCATTGCTAATAGCAGCATTATTCACAATAGCCAAGAGGTCATAGCTACTTAATCGTCCATTGATGGATTAATGGATAAGCAAACATGATATATCCATACAATGGAATATTATGCAGCCTTTAGAAAGAAGGAAATCTTGACACATACTACAACTGGAGTAAACCTCGAGGACATTATGCTAGGTGAAATAAGCCAGTCACAAAAAGACAAATACATGTGATTTCATTTATGTGAAGTATCTGCAGTACTCAGTTTCACAGAAGCAGAAAGTCGAACGGTGGCTGCTAGACACTGCGAGAAGGTGGCGAGGGAGCTTTACTGTTTGATAACTTGTATGAAGTTTCAGTTTTGCAAGATGAAAACATAGAAATTGGTTGCACAACAATGTAAGAAGACTTAATACTATTGAAGTGTGTACTCTAAAACGGTAAACATTACGTTTTTTCCACAACTTTTTAAAATGTGAAAAAAACGGTGAGGGAAGGAGAGAGAGAGAAGACTAAGAAGGTACACCCAGTGGAAATGAATAGTATAGAACATTTTTTAAAGGAAATGGACATTTAATGTCTCTTAAATGTCTCTTTAAATGTCTCTTGTGTGTCAGGCTCTATGTATAGTATACCTCATTTAAAACTGAGTATTTTAATTAGTGAATTGATTATTTAGCATTATTAATTTTGTGATTCATTTATTATTTCTGGACTTTGAAAAACACATAAACTGACTGCTCATTTTTAACTTAGGTTTAAATTAAGGTGAAATTTTGTCATGTTTTAACTTTCCTTCCCTCTTTTTCTTCCCATTTGTCAGGTTGGAAAGGTACTTTGTTAGGTGTTGCTATGGCTACAGTGAATGCTATGATAACAGAATACGGCTGTAGTTTGGACGATATTATTGTCGTACTGGGGCCTTCGGTAGGGCCTTGCTGTTTTACTCTTCCAAGGGACTCAGCCGCGGCATTTCATAACCTTGACCCTGCGTGCGTGCGGCTCTTCGACTCCCCCGATCCCTACGTCGACATTCGGAAAGCCACCAGGTGTGTTTGATGTCTCTCTGGAACTGCAAGAGTGGTTATTGCTTATTGCTTCTAAACTGTTAGTAAATCCAAGAAAAATTCGTGTGGCAGATATTTCAATAGCTGACATATACATGTACACAAAAGCTCATTTTAAATATGAAATCTATTCTCACCTAAGTTTTAATAACAGAAATTTTCCTGGCTGATTTAAAAGCGAAGGAAGAAGAAACAGTTGGTATATAGTTTTCGGAAATATACTTTTAAAGTTCATATAGAAGAGTTGGCATGTACTTTATTTACTTTATAGTCATTCCTAGGTTAAATTCTCCCAAATATAATAAACTCTCAGGAAGCTAATATATTTAAATTATTTATGTTCTCTAATTAACTAGAGGAATATATTTTGTGTTTATGAAGTTTTGCTCTTAATAGCTGTGAAAAATTATTTGTCCTTTCTACAAAGGAAAATTGATGTCTGATTTGAATCATGTTTCTATTCCAGTCAGCAAAACTTTGCCCAGATTCTGCCTCATTTAGCACATAAGTAGAAAGGATTGAAATTGATTCTTAAATGTAACTTGTAGAATTAATGTCACTAATTTATGGTCATATTTCACATCATAAAGTCTATGAAAAAGAAGGTTTTCTGAGAAAAATCTGGTAATAGGAGGAAAGGAGATGGGAGGTCCAGATGACTAAAAAGCACACTCTGTCTGAATCAAATGAATCGACTACAAAGACTCTGGTAACTTTAAAGTTTCCTCTAAAATAAGTACCCGATTTTGATTGCAAAATGCTGTGCCCAGACCATGTCTGCAGGACAATATGGAAAGTTCTGTAGTTCCTATATGAACTTAGGTGATAAACAGTGATAAAATCTGCCATTTTCTAACTAGTCCGTGTTCTGAAACCGAATAGCAATTGGCATTGTTCCAAGCGTATCTTTCCCAGAATTCTTTTACACCAATATGCATACTTTTTTCATACTGCATTGGCTATTACTGGTAACATAAACTCTTGCCATCCTGTGAAAAATCTTTATCCTAAGGATTCTTCTAGAACGGGGAGGAATTCTACCGCAGAATATTCAGGACCAGAAACAGGATCTCAGCCTCTGTACATCCTGCCATCCTGAGAAGTTCTTCTCCCACGTCCGAGATGGCCTTAATTTTGGCACGCAGATTGGCTTCATATCAATCAGAGAATGAGGTACAGTAGGTTCTCTCTCCCCCCTCCCCTCTCCCTCTTCTTCTTTTACCTTTCCCTCCCTTGATTTTAAAAAATAAATTGTGTTGAACTTTACTCCTTTGTTCCTCTAGAAAGAATTAAGTTTCCACTTTTTAGTTAAGTTAGGTAGAAAAGTTAATTCGCAGTGACATACTCTCATGTCAAGAGCAGCCACTCTTTGTCCCCGATCAGGCAGGCATGCGCTGAAGATACAAAAATAAAATAATTTATTCTTAAAAAAAATCCTGTATGTATGCCCTTTATCACTCCTTTGTAGTTGACATCTATACATTTGCGATCATAAGATCCTTTTTTAAAAAAGTAAATTCATCAGGGTCACATTGCTTCATTATACTATATAAGTTTCAGGTGTACAGCTTTATAATTCATCGTTTCTATATTGCATCGTGTGCTCAGCATGCAAAATTTAGTCTCCTTATGTCATATATTTGACCCCCTCAACCCTCTTCATCCTCCCCCCACTTCCTTCCCCTCTCGTTACCACCATACTATTGTCTGTGTCTATGAATTTGTTTGTTTGTTTTTGTTGTATATCCCACATATGAGTGAAATCATATGGTTCTTACCCTTTTCCATCTGACTTATTTCCCTTAGCATGATACTCTCAAGATCCATCCATGTTGTTGCAAATGGCCATATTTCATCTTTCTTATGGCTGAGTAGTATTCTGTTGTATATATGTACTGTATCTTCTTTATCCAGTCATTGGTCAAAAGACACTTAGGTTATTTCCATGTCTTGGCTATTACGAGTAATGCTTCAGTGAACAAAGGGGTGCATATATCTTTATGTATAAGCATTTTCAAAAATTTCAGGTAGATACCCAGAAGAGGGATTGCTAGACCATAACATCCTCATATCTTTCTTTAAAAAAAAATTGTTTTTGCCTTTTGAGATGACATATTTGCATAAAGATTCTAAATTCTAGAATAATAAGATACTCTCACATACACAAACTGGCTTGGTTTTCAACTAGATGTCCAACTGATTGTCTGTAATTGGCCAATTTTCTTTAAAGGGACAGACAGTAAATATTTTAGACTTTGTGAGACATACAGTCTCTGTCTCGACTACTCAACTGTGCAGAGCAAAAGCAGACAGGAACAGTACAGAAACAAATGAGTGTGGCCGTGTTTCAGTTAAACTTTATTTATAAAAACAGGTGACGGGCCAGATTTGGCCCACAGGCTGTAGTTTACTGACGCCTGAGCTACATCATAGAGCAGGACAGAGTATAATTTTGTAAAATTATCATTTATTAGAGATAGTTTTTTTTCAGAGTTCTACAAAAATATTTCATGACAGCGATTTAGCACTGGTCCTGTAGCATGTATGTAATTTTCCTTAAGGTTACTTTTAACTGAATATTATTTTTAGTCTTCAAAATATCTTTAACCCTTTAACATACAAAAGACTTTAAAAGACTAAGTGATCCTTCCTTTGATATTCCTATAGTACTAGGAAGGATCTCATATTTGATTTCTATTTATTTTTACAGGAACTTGACTGGATTTCTATGTAACTGTTTCCTGCCTTCTTCCAAACTGACTGCAAAGGAGAAATTTAGCTGTTTGATTTCCTTAATCCATTACAATGGATAATTTATCTTTAGGTTAAAATTCCAGTATTATCCAAAGCTAAATGATTTTCATTTGATTCTAACAATAACTGACAAAAAAATTAGCATGATGTGGTTTATACATTTTATACAGATGAGGATTATTCTTAAAGTTGGTTCTGTTTGTTACATAAATCAGGAATCGGTCCGTTCAGTTCTGTATTTACAGGTTCCCTTCTATTTGTCAGTCATTATCTGAAGCATAGGTGAAAGAAAGGTGAGTAAGACTTTTCCTATTTGACTCTAATGCACCAGAGGAGTTAAAAAGTTCTAACACTTTAATTTTAATAGCAGTAGAAGAGTCCAGAAGAAGGCAGGATTAATTCTTTCTGGAAGGCAGGATAGAGAAGATATTACAGAGAAAATGAGATCACATGGGCCTGAAAGATGCATGAGCTGTTGACAAATAAGAAACTACTGTAACAGGTCGAGAGAACATCATGAACTAGAGCATGAAACTGAAAACGTATCATGTGTTTTAGAGGGAGAAGGGTGTGGACAGGAGTTAACTGGAAAAACAGGCTGGAAGCAGATTATCTAGGGTCTTAAATGCCAGGTCAAAGAGTTGGGAGTTTATTTCCCAGGCAAAGAGTAGGTATGAAAAGTAGAGGAGTGTCTGTATTTCCTTGACATCATGTTTAACAGGATAGATTTAAATTGTGAGACCAAAGCAGAGAGACTAGTTCAGAGGCAGCCAGAATACTTTATAAAGGAAATAATGAAGCCTGAATGAAGGTATTGGACATTAAAATGGAGAAGAGAATAGGTGGATTAGAGAGAACTTTCAGAGATGGAATCAGTAAGTTGTTAATAGATAATGGAGATGAGTGGGGAGGGAGTAAAGTCATTCGTGACTCCAAGATTTCTGCTCGGCCCACGACCAAGAGTGACAGCAAAGAGACAGAGGAGGTTCGAGACGAGGAAGAAGGAAAATAAGTTTGACACGCAGAACAGAGTATATCCGGGTGGAGATATTCGGTCAACAATTAGAAATATAGACTTGGAACCTAGGAGGGAGCCGGGAAACAGATTGAGATTTAGAGGCTGTTGGAGCAGGCTGCCCATTGAAGCAGAATTATAGGCTGAGACAAAAGGAGACCCAAGGATGAAACCTCATCCAACACCTGCATTTGAAGAACAAGAAGCTGAACCAGTAAAAAGCATTAAGAAGTAAGAAAAAAAACATTGCGAGTATAGTCGTTTTGAAGAAAGAAGCCCGTGGACATGTGAGAGGTACAGTGAACATCCGAAGGTTTCTTCAAGAAGAATTCTTCAGAGATCAGATGAGGACTGAGGAGAAACTAATGGGTTAGCCATGCTGAGCTGTTCTCATGGTGGCGGAGTCAGACTCACCGGGGAAGGGGACGCACAGGCGTCTTCTGTGACAGAACTTACTAGAGAAGATAAAGCACTCAGGCCGTATCTTGAAGGAAGGGCGTGTTTTGTTTTGTTTTTCATTTGTTTTGTTTTTGTGTTTTGTGGGGGTTGGGTTTTATTTGTAGGCTGAAGAGGAGAGGCATTAAGTTGTTTTTCATTTGGGAAAAAATGGTATAGTATATATTTTAATGTGAACTGTCACATTACATCTTAAGATTTCTTATTTCATACATATAGTTCTTACATGAATATACAGTAGAATAACAGAAAATTGCATTCATTTGGTATTTACAAAGGACTTCCATGTACGTCACCTCATTTTACCTTTATAGCTATTCCGACATACTTAGATGTGTTATCCCTTTCATTCAGATGAGAAAATTGAGCCTCACCGATGTGGAGATTAAAATTGCATAATTTGTGAAAAAGTGGATTTGAATGCACATCTTCGACTCCAAATCGTGTTTCAGATTTTACAGTTAATCAAAGGTATCTAAATTAAAATTTTAATTTCAATTTTTCATTAATATCATTTACTCATACATTCTGTTAAAATTTTGTTGAGGTATTAGGACAAGTTAAAAAAATACAGTCCTAGCCCTCAAGATGTTTAATATCCATTGAAAGGTGACAGTCAATAAACCAACAGTTTCAATACTGCGATATGTGTTGTAAGGTTGTCAAAACCTGATTCTTTGGTTAGTTTAATTCTTCTATGCAACTCATAGCTCACTATGAAATTTAAATAAAATACCTCATTTCCTTCAATTGAGGGAAGACATTAAACACATCACATAAGGTAGCAATTTCAAACTCATGAAACTACTCTTTTTGTTTGATGGTTATAATAAAGACTAAGGAATAACCACACATTGAGAAAGGTCGATAACATTCCAGTTCTTCACTGTGCATTATATTGTTTCAAGTTTACAAATTCACAGACTATTAGGCAGCTGTATTTCACTGTATGCATGAAAATATTTTTAAAAACATAAAAATTATGTGTGATTACCTGTGATTTTGAATTATCTATGGCAGAACACATTGTCTCCTTTGGTTTTACTGGGGGAAAAAATGTTGATTTAGTAATTTAGAAACAGAATGACTAGGTAGTTAAATAATCATATCGTATTGCCTCTACACGATTGCTGTCACTCTTAAGCGTTTGTGTATAGGTTTCTGGGACTTTTAGGCTGCAACCACAATGATGATTTTTAATAAGTTTTGTTTTCAATCTAAGCATTGCTGCTTAACCACATATAGGAAATATCAGCTGTCATTTTATCAAGAAGACAAATTAGGTTTGGAAATCAAGTAAAAGATCATGACATGATTTTTTTTGGAGGTGCCAATTATCAATCAAAAATTTATTTAATTGTAATTTTAAATTGTGCAGAGCAGCATAGTGACTAAATATGCTCTACTCTGTTGCTTTATAAAACACATGAAAAGTGATCTTAAACTAGGCTGTAGTGTTTCTACAGAAAGCTCTGCTTTTTCCTGACATAAAGTCGAACCAGCCTTTATTTCTGTATTTCCCTGTACGGAAGAAAAAGGAGCACATTAAACATTAATGAGGATGTTGCCCTTAACTTTGGATGTAACATACTGTAGTTCAAGTACATAAAAACCTTTAGGGACCTTCGGCCACCTGGATTTCCCTCTACGGAATCTCCAGTAACCGATTTTCTATAAGTAGATTTTTGGGGAGAAATTCAGAGAAACTTATTCTATGTCACATGATAAAAACATAAATAATACCCGATGGATTCAGCAGCTGGAACATAAGATGACTGTGACATCTGAATTACATCACCTTACATCTCAAGTGGGATTTGATATTTGTTTTCACTTGATTGCCCTAAAGTTATACTTACAATGTATTTATCCTACTTTTCATGTGAACTCTTAGAGCATGCCACCGATCTGAGGAAGCCCAGCACTTTATATATAAAGTACTCGCAGGTACCTATCTCTGTTAGTATGTGTGTGTATATATGGATCTCTGTGTGTATATGCTAAATGGTAAAAAATAAATTTGTATTTTCTATGTATGACATATAGCCTCTTTGCCTCACTCAGCTAATGTAAATTTACACAAAACCATGAGACGCAGCGGAATTATAGATTTCTCTCAACAATGTTTGCATATCGTGCAGTAAAGAATGGGAAGTGTGATCCACAAGCTTACCACATGTGTCTGAGAACTCTGGCCTGGAACATACACATTTCCACTGTAGGCAGTGTTTTTAAACTTGTGATTTCAAAGATGAGTCAGCCGACATCCGTGATGGCATGGCTCCATGCGAGGCCATTGCTTAATAAAGGAAAAGGCAATCTGCCAGCGCTTTTTCCTGACTGACACATTTAGTTCGGACTCAGGATGATGATGATCACATGTCAATTGCGTGGAGACAAACTTTTCATACTCTTCTTAGTATTTTCTTTGAAGACAAAGAAATGCTTATATCACATACCCTTTGTCTTTGTGCCAAGTGCCTGAAGCGAAGTATATCCTCTCTGTATTGGGGGCAGGTTTTTAAATTTTATTTAATTCTCAGAAGCCTGGAGTGTCCACTTACTTTATGTATGTCCACTGTATTTTATTAAACAGTTAAAATTTCCAGCAGACTCTATAGCTCAAAATACCACATTCCTTTCTAACAAAAGAACAACTCTCATGAGCACATTTGTAGAAAATGGGTCTGGTCATGGTGACAGTCGAGTTTTGAGCTTTCGGCATCTTCCATTGTCTTAATTTCTGGTTTTGGATCACATCGCTCAGTTCTCTGTCTCACCAGCACTTCCCTATTTGACTTTCCTTTAGCGTGTGTTCTAGACTCGTGTTTTCTGATCTGCCTCCCCATCCTTCTTGTTTTCATAATTGGTAGTTCACGTTCACAGGGTACATGAATTCTTTTGAGTTTTCTGCTTTTAAATACGTATTCAGACTTAGCTACAGAGTTGCTTGTTAGACGTGTCCTGTGGGCCTCTCAAACACAAACCTTCCCAGCTTAACTCATCGTTTTCTCTGGCAAACCTGTTCCTCTCTGCTGTTCCGTCTCAGGGAATGAAATTCCTCGTGCAGTTGCCCGTCTGGAAACCCGAGTGTTCCTCAACTCCTCGCTTTCCCTCAGCCCTTCTCTTCCCACCCTGCCGACTTTGCGAGTGTCCCATCTGTGCCCGTGTCTCCCTCTCTCCACGGCCGACATTCTGACCTTCATCTCTCACCTGCAACACCGGAGCGGCCTCCTAATTACTCCTCCCCCACTGGATCCTTTCTTACACTGCCGTAGTGATTGCTCCAAAATCGGGTCATATTATGGACTTTGAAATTATTTTATGGGTTTTCCACTGTCTCCAAGATAAAGACCTACTCACTGAAGCTTATAAGTGCTGTCATGATCTCTCCCCTGCTTATCTCTTCATTTTCCACTGCTCCCCGTAACTCTGTGCCATATATTTCAGCCATTCCATATTTTTCTCATTTCCTAGAACATGCTGTGAAGTTAGGTCAGACCACAAAAATTGGTTTGCGTTCCCAGACTGGCTAGAACTCAGATTGGGTTCAAGGTGACTTTCATTTAGGCTTTCTACAAAACTAGCAAATGAGCAGTACCAAGGACATATACAATAGACACTCCTAAGTGAATGGATGCAGCCCTTTCGTGTGCCCCCAGTTCCTCATGGAGATAGGACCGAAGTTCCATTGTCTGTGGTATGTGCACAGGGAGGAGTATGCCAGGCCATATATAGAAGCTCAGTAGCCTTTGTTCCATTAGGCAGGGTGAGGGGCGTGTCAGTGCAAAGTTCTACTTTCTACCAAATAAGGAAAGTTCTGCTACATGTAAAGACATGAACGATTTTTTTCTGTGTCATCGGGCCTACAGAGGTCACCGTGATCTCCCACAACCACATTTCTCTTGCCTCCTGACTTTACACCTAGTGCTGGCTCTGTATGCAGAGCGATTCCAACCTCACTTCCCTTGAATAACTCACGGTCGTCCTCTAAGACTTGGGTCAGGGATCACCTCTTCCAGAACATGTGCCTTGGTTGTTTGCCTCGCTGACGTCCTGTGCATTATTTTTCCTAGTCCTTACTGATTTTTGAATGTTACTCTGATTCCCTGTCTACTATTAATATGAGCTCCTTCAGAGTAAGAACCATGTCTTACTCTTCATATATTTGGTCTCTAGCAAAGATATCAACACACTGTAAACAGCTAATATCTATAGAAGAAAAAAAACGGTGGGAGGGTGAGGAAGGAATCCTTCAATGATCTAATACAAAGTCTGGATGTGTGCGTGTTGTCAAGTTCTACCAGGTACCTTTATAGCTTCAATATTTAGCTGAATTCATTTAAATAATTAGGATACATTAAAGTCATTCTAAGGAAAGAACATTAGTGATGGAGATCTGTTTGAAGGTGCTCAGCCATGTTACTTTACTCATCGTTAGATTTCTCTGTTTCCAACTTGTGTTAAATTTTAGAGTATTGACAAGTTCAATTGGATCGAAATTTACAGCTGCTCCTCTCCCCAGCTTGGACCAGACGGGCATCGAGGAGTAAGGCTTGGTTTGTTCTCTGTGTTCCCTCCCTTGCCCATCTTTGCCACCCGCTGTCACCAGAGTTTTGAGAGTAAGGAAGGGCGAGAGAGAGGTTGCATGGGCGGGAGACTTCATCCACGCTGCCTCCACGTGCCTGTGTCCAGCTGCCCGTTTAACTCCGCTCTGATGGTTCACTCTGCACAGCCGCTCTGTTCTCCTGGGCAAAGTTTTTTAAAGATGGTTCTAGTCCAGCTGTGGTCCTCCAGCTTGCAGCAAACTTGAGCCTGGTTTTGCCCATCCGTATCGTGGCTGTACAGACTACTCCCGATTTAACCTTCTCTCTTCCCTGTTATTCTAGGCAGCTCCAACCACTAGCCAGCATCTTTTCTTCAGCCTGTCATGGGAGAGTCGGGCACAGGTCACAGTGCACACAACCCCCAAACTTGGGGACCACGGGTTAAGTTTAGTAAAGCTTCTTCGATGATCAGCTTTAGTTCTGTTGAAAAGTGATTAAAGGAAACAATTTAGGTGACACAAGCTCTAACACTTCATGGAGCAGACAGTCTCCATTTGGAGAACTGCAAAATGAGCCTGAAGGCAGGAAGCTTTTATAGCTAAAGAACAAAGAATAGGGAAGAGAAAAATAGAAAACGTCTGATCGCTTGGGTTACACAGTCCCCCTTGCTTGGGGTGAGAGGGACAAGGACCTAGGTCTAGAGCCCGGGCTTGGCTTGGCATCTGGGGATGCTGAGTGCTCTTCTGGTCTGGCAGAGCGTTTAGAGGAACGGGAACGTTTGGTTTGCTGAGGTGGCACGGGCACGAGCGGCTCCGAACCTTTTTCAGCAGCAGCGGGCTCTGCTGGGGGAGGTGGCAGATCCATGAGAAGGGACCGGAAATGCACAAGACTCTGACAATGCTCTTTAAAATAATTCTCGCCAGCTCCCCGCCTCGAAGCCTGAATCTGGGCAGGTAGGTAATAGTTTCAGGGTGCCAGGAGTCGTTTAGGGGTCCACCTATTACCAAATTCTGCTTTTTGTGCCTGGAATCCGGGGCCATGGTTTTCAACTTTAGCCATTCAGCAGACTCCACACAGGAAAAAAATCTCATGTTCTGGAACAACTTCGTGGGAAATCACATCTTGAATTTTCCAATCTAGAAGAAATAAAAGACATATATAGAGGGAACGTGTTTCCGCTTTATCTTCTCTTCATTCTGTTTTTATTCATATAATTTTACTTACGTAGATTTTAATTAATAATCTTTGGAATATCACATCTACTTAAAGTACATGAAGACAATTTGGCCTCGATAGTGTTCGGTGATTAGTTGCAGATCATCCTCGCTGGAGTGTCCAAGTGGGGGGTCTCCTTTATCGGGACCCCGCGGTGCCCCTCAGAGAGATGTGGGCTTGAAGACTCAGTCATTGTGGTGTATGCCTCAGCTTTCGTTCGCTAAAACTCTTATTCTCTCCTTTACTTTTCACACTTGTAAGTCTTGAGCTGCTCAGGCCTGCTTTTCTCTTAGTGCTTACGGGATTCCTATGTCTGGCCATGAAACTCTAGGCTGTTCAAATTGCTCGTGAAGGAAATAAGAGAAATCACGTGATAGGGGGAAAAAGTCCCTTCTTCTCTAGTTACAAAATAAAACGGAACAGAACAAAATGATTCTGGGTTGTAAAACTATCCTTGCAAAGGTCGTTTCTTACAGAACCCTTATAAAGGAACCGAGGTTTCAGGAATTGTTAGTAGGTTCTGTGGCAATAATCTTTAACTTCTTTTTAAAATATCTGCAGTTTTAACTGAGGTTCTCTTACTAATTTATTGTGATCACAGTAGCAGTTTTGAATCATCGCTTTGAAACTCTTACTGAAAACCAAACATATGAATTAATGACACAGCAAAAGAAAAAGAAAAACAAAACAAAACAAAACACACAAAAGTTGGTGGCATGAAATCCTTCAGAATCCAAAAGTATGGGTGGATGTGGCCAAATCACCAACAGGATCAGGGCCAGAGCAAGATGAGCAGCTATGCCGTAAGAGCTGCCGAAATAAAAGGGGTTACAAAATGAACCAGAATTCCTAGAAAGTAACGAAAAAAATTAAAATCCATGAGATACAGCCGAAGAGGTATTACAAGGAACATCGGTTGCTTATATTACATTGTATTACATTCACTGTTATTTACATTTTCTATTAAGTATTAAATACCTTTAGAAACAGAAACAAAAAATACATGAATTACATTTCAACTCAACAGATTATGAAAAAGGGTTAACTAAAAGTAAACAGAAGGAATTGATAAAAATAAAGGAAGAAATTAATGAGCTAGAAGAGAGAAAAGCTAAAACAACTAAAAGAAATAAGCTAGTTAAAGAAATCAACAAAAATAGACAAGCTATTTAGTAGACCAAATTGGAGGAAGTATAAGTTCACAATATACAAAATGACACAGGGGAAATAATTTTTGCAACAGAGAGTGGGAGGCAGGGGGCGGGGGAAGGAAA